GCTCCTTCTCAAGAATAATCAGTAAGACAGTAAAAACTACTTTCTTGTAGTGCATTAGAAAGACATGTTTTTTTTTTAAATCTGAGCTTATTTTCTGTATAGTTGCTGGAGTTGTTGACTTACTGCCTTTTTTTTCTGCCAGGTATTTCTCACACATTGCAGCTTTATTTCATGGTGGCCATTTTAGGAACGTCATTTTAAGTTTAGTAGGGTGAAAGTTGTTTATATAATCGCATCAGATCATGAGAAGCCTACAAAGCAATGAGGTGTTTAGAATTATATTTTCTACTTTAAAACACAACCTCTGTAAATGATATGTACCAACAGATATCAATTTAGTGTGGTCTTCCAAATTTTCTTGGAGTCAAATATCAATTCAGATCAAAACAACAATAAAAGTTTGCAGATAATTTTCTATTTAAAAAGAATTAGGCATATTTTGAAGTAAGTATAAATGAGCTGATAAGCTGTGCTTTTGGCACCCTAGTTTAGTATATTTTTCAAGGCTGCACTTTTAAAAAGATGAAATTGTCCAGTGAGCTGTTTCCAAACAAAATTTCTTTTTGTTTTACACTTGTGTAAACAAAATGAAAAATAAATCTAAAAGTCTATATTGGCAACAGGTCAAAATTGAATCAAGTCTTTGCCTTTTTCTTGCATTAAACTGCTTTCTTCTCATGCGCTGACCTTAGGGTATCATTTTATTCCCATCTGTAGGTAAGTTTTCGTCTCTTAATGGCTATGTTTAATAACCAAAATGGGTTTTCAATCTCAAATACTACTTGTCTTAATTGGATATTGTCTAAAAACGTAGAATTAAACCTTTTATCCAGTTATTTTGGTTCAGATTCCCGTTTGGTCCAATGGACTCCTAATAATTTGAAAGGCACTGACCTCAGAGCAAACCAAAATAAGTTTTCGCACCTACAGCTGCTGGATTATGTTAATTGGAGTCATAAAACCCCATCGGACTGAAAATTACACTTTTTTTTTTTTTTCTAAGTCTGTAGAATCTGTCAAAGAGGGTATGATCTTTCGGTTTACACCACTTAAAGCATAGTCTGCACAAAATGTCCTGAGGCAGATGACTTCGCTTTAACCCCAAAATGTTTAAGAATAAATGGTCAAAATTAGAAAGGCGGTGAAATGCTTAGCTTGTTCTACTTGCTTTGCATGATCGACAAAACTTTCTTAAACCAATCAATTTACTTAATATGTCCAGTCCAAGTGGCATGAGATCTTGTTTATCTCCACTGCTGTCTTCTATTTTTCACCTTTTTGATTTTGTTTTGCTGTTTTTGAAAAAAAAAAAAAAAAACAGCTAAAAGCTAAGACCAACTGCTGCTTCATGCGTTTATCCACGTTTCTGCTTTAGCTTGTTGAAACCGGCAACAGTCAGTTGAGCCTTGTGTGTCATGATTTCCTCTAGAGGTGTACCGCAGAGTCTCCCCTCAGCTCATAAACATAGACAGTTCAGATCAACTCAGGGTCTGAATGGACGTTGAGACGTGTTTACTAAAGATCCTGTTGCTGGGGGCCTCTGATTAACATTGTGGAGCATTCATAGCAGTCCCACTCCCACTTGACATCAACAAGCTCGTTTACATTTTCCTCCCCTATACCACTCTGGGACCCGAAAGACGCCATAGTTTAGTATTGGTTTCTGTCTAGCAGGTCAAAACGTATGGAGCTTTATTGCTCCAGTGCGTTTTCTTAAACCCACAGGGAACATTTATAGCTTGAAAGACTGCCAAATGAACACTTTTTCTTGTCAGCTGTGAGGTAAAGGATACCAAATAACTATTATTAAGCAGAGTTTATTGGAACGTTGCGTTGGTAAATCATCCGGACAGTTAGCTGTTGTAGACACTGGATGTCTAAAGGTGGTAATCAGCGGTCGGGTCAGTTGTGGTTAGGTGGTCATCAAAAAAACTGTTTGATTACTGTTTTATGTTGTCCTAATTTATAGCTGTGCTGTAAATCAGAAACACATTTTGAATCTTGAACACTTTGGTCACTTTACTTTCTTTGAATCTAACTCTCCAAATGTTTATTATGGCGGAGTAAAGATGTCCTTTAAAAGGGAAAGTAAGGTTTAATCTTTAAACATTTTACAGTCTCTCCATCAGAACCTTCTTAACACTGTTTAAATTGACATCAATGATGATCGATTTGATGTAAACTTTGTTTATAAAAATAAAATTCTTAATATTAGATGTAATCATCCTGGTGAATCCTTTGCCTCTCTAGTTGTTTGACTAGGAGAAGGCTGGGCGTTCTCTGTACGGTTGCCCTTCGTCAACAGCCTCAAACGTATTGTTTTCACTGACAATCAAAAAGCTGTCAGTTTAGGCTGGTAGGAATGAAGCCCAACTGAAATTAGCTTGTTCCCATTTTGAAAACTCTAGCTACTTTCTGACAATATGGAGCACAGGAGATGAGAAGACTCAATGGGCCTTGGTCAGATTGGCTTTTTGCATGCTATTACTAATGTTCCATCTAAACACATGTTTTAATCAAATCAATTTAAAGGTTTGTTTGTCTCTAAATATAAACAGCTGTTCACAGTCATCATGTAAAACTGGCTCAACTGCTTTTATAGATCTATTCACTTAAAGTATTGATTCTTAAACAAGTTATCACCAAACATGCTAACAAAAATAAAAGGGTTTTTCAGGTGTTATCATAATGACTAAAATGTTAAAACTGTTGTGCAGCAATACTTGGATTTTCAAACTGTCCTTTTTTCCCCCTCCCGCTTATTCCTTGTTGGGGTTGCATTGGGGCCGGTGCCTATCTCTGGCAGTCCATGGGTGAGAGGCAGGGTACACCCTGGATAGGTCGCCAGTCTAGGGCAGGGCAACACAGAGAGACACAACCATGTACACACACACTCCAAAAAAAAAAGGAAATTAAAAACAACTTTGTTTCCAAGTTTGAAGGCGTTTAGCTTCCCATCCAAGAAGGTTTTTCAATTCAAAATGTCAGGAATAGCTTTGAGTTTGAGGTTTAATTTCCTTTTTTTTTTGGAAAACCAATGACCTGGATGACTGAGAATCTTCACCAGCATTTACACACACACATCTAAGGTCAATTTAGAGAAGCCTTTCAACCTAAAATTCATGTTTTTTCAGCAATTTTGTGCTGAAAAGGCGACAACGTATTTGGACAAAGACATGGCTAAGCAAACGTGGCTACTACGATCTGTCAATTTTACAGAAAGAACTCAATTTAACTCGCACCCACGCCATGCTTCTGTGTTTACATCTGAGAGGAAGAAGAAAAAGAAGAATCCTTGTTTGCGCACAGAGCGATTAGCCCACAATAGACCTCACGATTCCTGATCGAGGTGGTCGTTTCAGCCTGATGGATGCACGATCAGGCTGAAAGTTGGCCCGATCGGAATAATAGTGCGAGAATAATAATATTCTTGCACGACTGGAAAGTTGCCACTAAAAGGGCAAAAGATCGCACAGTGTGTGCGTGCAGGTGGCGCAGTGGTTAGCACGCACGACCCATGTACAGAGGCCTTTGACCTCGACACGGGCAACCCGGATTTGAATCCGGCTTGTGGTCCTTTCCCGCATGTCTCTCCCTCTTTCTCATACCCTTTTTCCTGTCAGCCTACTCTTGAAAAAAAAAAAAACGAGCCACTAGTGCCAAAAAAACTCAAAAAAAAAAAAAAAAATAATGGCAGAGTGTAAGCCCAGCTTTAATGCAAGGCAATATGGCTACAAACTGCACCACCTCGCAGCCCCAATGTTCACACTGACATGACAGAAATAATGACAAAAATAAAACACATTCTTACCTTAAAGTTTAATTTTGCGTCGCATTTTTAAACAAATGCTGAAGATTTTTTATTTCACAGAAATCCAATATGGCTGCCATTTACATAAAGACCTCAGTAAAAGAGAACTTGTTTAATGGTTTTTATCTAAGGATGCCTTTAATGTTGCTACAGTGTTTGAAAATAAATAGAAAAACAATGAAGAGAAGGTCCTGAGAATAAATGTCAGAATATCCATCAGATTTTCCTTTTCAGTGTAGAATTAGAAAACACTTCAATTGGATTTATTGTCATTCTCCGAGGTTAATAAGTGTGCAAGTCGTCCCCAGCACATGGCCTGGTTCACAGTTTCGTTGTTGCTGGGAGTTTTAATGTTTTCCACCAGGTCTTTTTTAAAATGTCTCCACTCAGGCAAAGGTCATTGCGTTTTAAATAACACACCTTTTTGGCTCTTATTACATCTACACTGGTTTGTTTATTTACTTTGCAGATAGCTTTGTTCAAAGTTCACTCTGAGCAACACCAAAGGCAGCCATAGTGTTTCATTTGGTATTTGTACCACACCTTATGAAGTGTTTCCTTTTTTGGATTTATGTGGAAAAAAACAAACAAACTAAGGTTCAGGTTATATAATTTTTTAAAGAGAACCTTCCAGTTTCAGATCATAACTTAACTTTTCCTCCTTTTATGTAGCACCTCAACAGTTAAATGTTTTATACAAGAAGGAGAACAAAAGTTCAATATTGTGAGAATAATTGTGATAAGTGTGTATTTTTCAGAAGGTGAAGCACTTTCTCCAGTACTTTGCTTGTGGTATATAAAGTGACATTGAGCATCAGTACAAGATTATTTGTAGAAGAACACGGAAACTTAATTGTGTGTTGACGACACTAAGCTTATTAAAAGCTACTTTCTCCACTGGCCATCAGCGTTAAAGTCTCATTTTATTCGAGCAACTTCTCCTTAGCATTTTAAAATATGTAAAAGATCACTTCCTGCAATCAGATCACTGTGTGTGTATGTATTTATGTGAGTCTGGATGTTGTTTGTCTTGATAAATAATCTGCTTGTAATGAAATAATTTTATAGGGAAAAAATCAGAGGGTTGCATATTGCTACTTCCTTTGCCACCTATCTTTGTTGATCTAAGAATATGTTATCTCTGCAATAACATATTATGATGACTCCATGCTCTGTTGTGTGTCGACAGCAACATGAACCGTGAGGACCGGAATGTGCTACGAATGAAAGAAAGAGAAAGGAGAAATCAAGAAATCCAACAGGGAGGAGAGGCCTTTCCAGCAAATTCCCCCCTCTTCCCTGAACCCTACAAAGTGGTAAATGTTGTTTTTTTTCTGGTATTTTATGAGTTCAGATGACTTTTCAACATAGACAGGAAGTGAAAATTGCATTATCAAAAGCTGTCACAGTTTCTTGCTGCCACTTTCAGATCTTGCGTCATCTGTTTTATAGTCTTCCTGAACGCAAGATTTGTTGTTGTGTTCCAACATGTCTGAGAGGTCTTCATCTTGTTTTATAACCCACATAATCTCAAATAATGTTTGTTAAAAGTTAACTTTGGTGATTTGAACAACTGCTAAGAAGATTTTTCTGTCTGGAGACGGCTCACCTTGATCAGCTGTTACAAGTAAACAAAACTGCACGCTACGCCTCTGTCAGACTTCCTCCCATGTCTTCCGCTTATACCTGCTTGAGAATATGTAGGGCAGCCAGCTCCTGTCAGCCACTATAATTGTAAAGAGGATTTAAGATCTCTGAACCGGTTCAAATCTTTCCCACTAACGAGATTTGAGCAGATGTAAGTGGCTCCCCTCCCTTAGCTAGGACTAGCCATCAAAGAGGCAGTAAGGAATGTGTTCTGACAGGTTGGGAATAGAAAAGCCACCAGAGGTGAGTATCGATGGGTATGTGTGTGTTTGTTTTGGACCACAACAAAGGGAAGGATGAAAGCTGACATTAGAGACTGAAAGCACCTTGACCTTTACCAATGAAATGCAGTTTAACTCTGCAGATTTTCCCAAGGTTTCCTAGAGAGTTGCTTTTAAATGTAAGGAGATTTAAATAACACATTTAAGCAGATCAGAGATGTGGGGAATAAATTAGCCTTTAAAGTTGCCAAATTTCTCTACTTTCTACATTTTGCCAACGGGCTGCATGGGCCTTTATGTAAGCTGTAGTTTGACTTTCTGACTGTCATGCTTCACTAAGTGGAAGTTTACAGCGTTCTGCTTTAAAGCCCATGTGCACACACAGCTGCAGCTGTGGCCTCCCTGATCTAGACCAGTGCAGAGGGAACGTTTTTATGGTGCAGAGTTTATATGCTCACCCATTGGTGCAGAGTGAGGAACATTTAACTTTCTATAGAAGCTGTTTCATGTAATGGATATCATTCTGATTAAAAACAGACGTTTGACCAAAACTCACTTCAACTACGCTCTTTTAGGCAGATTGTTTTTCAATCTAACAAGACTTAAAGAGGAAAACAATATGTTGAGTTCTTCTTTTTTTTTTTCATTTTAAAAAGTATTAAAACAAAAATGCACATAGATAAATATAAGCAGACACAAGGTTAAAGAAAGTCTGGAAACTAGTGAGTTTTGTCTCTTGTGATATCCTGTTCTGGATTATTGGATAAAACATGACAAGGGATTTTGTGGGGCCAATAAAAACAAAAAGTTAATTTCATTTTTAGGCGTTAAAGAAGCTTTGTATGAATTAGTTTGCAGTTGATTTAAACAACCCTCTTTGTGTTGGAAGGTTTTGACTCTGCTCTGACCTCTGAACAGTTACGGTTCATTACAAAAGAGCAACACAATCAGTTTTACACAATGGACTCATTGGATATCTTCACCTAATATTTATATTGCTGCACAACTCATGTACTGTACAAACAATGAGAAATTTTGCAATTATTAATATCTACAAGATGAAAATCTTTCCAGTTGTTGCAGTTAATTACAATTTGTCTACATTTTACTTTTTCTTTACGGCTTTGACTTTTGTCAGACTACCAACGGAAACGTAGAAATTAGAAGAAAAATAGGTGCTACTGTTCTTCCCCCTGCTGCTCTAATGAGAGCCAGGCCTCCTGCAAGCACAAGGTGGTGGAGTGCACATTATGACCAAGCCAGTAACATTTCCTGCTGCAGATAACGGCTTGTGTTTCCTCACCCTCAGTGTGAATCTGTCAAACAAGACAGAGGTGTTAGACTGCATGGGAAACTGGAGACTTTGCACAGGCTGCAAACAAATCAACTGGAACCTGCGGCCCTCAGAGTGATTGATTAACCTCTGTGCTGAGGCTGTGGTCTGACCCTTATCTCGGTTCAGACGGGCTGTTCAGAGCTCAGTATAAACAAACTGTGCCTGATTAGCCGTTTCGATCATTTCTGGGTGGAAAATTGCTCTTAAACGTAGTGTTCTAACTGATTCTTTTTGTTGGAGAGACTTGAAATTCTGCAATTTTGAAGTTAGTTTTTACCACATTTTCCTTTTTGCTTTAAGAATATAATATAAGATATTTTTTTTCTAGCATGTTTGCTGTTAGGGGATCATAAGTGAAACCAAACAAAGTGCTGTGCAGGTATATGTAAAGGTTGAAACAAAAATACAGGAAGATGACAAAAAAATTATTAGAGCTCTCTTATGCTGGTTCAGAGGCTAAATAAGAGTTTTCAGAGCAGATTTAAGAAGGAATTGCAGAGGTTGTCTGATGTTTACAGGTGATAAGCATCGATATCATCAGAAAATATAAATATTTGAATTTTCATGCAAACTCTTTGCTTGCTCTTTACCATTACTCCATCGTCTGCTTTTCTTTCTTCAGGTCAGCAAAGCAGATCTACTGTCCAACCGTATTCAGAGCATGTTGGGCAATTACGACGAGATGAAAGAATCGATTGGCGATACTCTTCCAAAACTTCCAGGAAAAGCCTCAAACAGCTCGTCTTCCTCAGAGGAGAAGTCCGGCCCGCCTTTATTTGGCGGGGACCAGCGAGGTGTTGGTAGTGGAGGTGGTAGCCAGAGCAGTAAGTGGACTCCTGTGGGCCCAGCGGGGGGCGGATCTTCATCTCAGTCACAGAAACGCTCTGGACTCTCAGGGGAACACAGTAGACAGAGGAACAGCGGCAGCAGTAGCGGCAGCAGCAGTAGCCAAAGAGGGGAGAAGAAATCCAGTAAGCACAGCGGAGGCTCAGAACACTCAAAGTCCCACACTTCTAGTCCAGCAAAGGGCTCGTTGACCTCCTCCAGCAGCCACTCGCGGAACTCATTGACTGCTGATCAGCATCACCCCAAGTACCGCAACAAGTCGCCCAGAGACAGGGAGGCCAGCTGGGACTCCCCCTCCCGGGTTCACTCCTCCTTCCCCAGTGGACAGCACTCGAACCAAGCCTTCCCTCCATCTCTGGTCTCCAAGCCCAGCTCAATGCAGCAAAAGCCCACAGCTTACGTGCGGCCCATGGATGGCCAGGAAACGGCAGAACCCAAAAGCTCACAAGCTGAAAGCTACGGCGGGCAGTCGCACAGCAGCACTATGGGAGAGGTGAAGTCCCTCGGCAAAGCTTCACTTACAAAACTTAAGATCCCTTCACAGCCTGTGGAGGTAAGACATCATCTTCAACCCAAAGTCCCTCCTGTGGTTTATTAGCATTCTTAAACAATGTTCATATGTGTCCTTTAACAACAAGACCTTCATAAAGGATCCCTTATCTTAGGATCATCCAATCAGCAGTGGTTAAAACATCCATATTATTCTTTGTGATGTCATTTATAAGAAATAAAAAAAAAATACAGTTTTGTACACCATGTCTGCATGAATTATTAGATCTCACAAAATGCCTTTAGGATGACTAATGGCTTTATACATGGAAGCTCTCTGACCTGTTGAACTGAGACCATGATAACATCAGCTAATCATGATGGTGATGATTCTCTCAACAGGGATCCGGTGACGCCAACTGTGTCGATGAAATCCTAAAGGTTTGTGAAAACGTTTCCTCTCTATAGTTCTTTCAGCTCTATGATATATATACAGAGAGAAAAAAAGTCAACTAACTGGGAAAAAAAAAACAGCTTTACCTTCTCCTAATCTGAAGCTTTTCTCCCCATTTGTGTTGGGGAGTTATGTGGGTTTTTTTTTCTTATTTTTTTTTTCTTTTTCTCCTTTCAGGAAATGACTCAATCATGGCCTCCTCCACTTACAGCCATCCACACTCCCTGCAAAACAGAGCCCTCCAAGTTTCCATTCCCCACCAAGGTCAGCACTGAACGCAGACTTTAACTCATTTTAATGATTCTCTTAATGTTCCAGAAGGGCAACCAGGCTAGTTTGAATACAAAACCTTGTTTTGTACAAAGATGATTTTTATTGTGAATGTTTTAAACCATTAAATTCAGACAAAACGTAAATCAAAAAACTATTTTTTTCATTTACCTTAGGATGCGCACCCTTTTCCAAGTGGACACAGTAAGTTTTACAGTTCAGACTCTATTTTCTTTATTTATTAATTTAGTGTACAGATCATCATGTGTAAACATATTGTAAATATGAACTTTGTCCTAGAGCGAGGAAGTTCATCAAAGAGCTCCAGCAGCCACCAGCCTAAAGAGTGAGTCGTTTATGTGTTTGTAGTCTTGATTCGTAAATCTGTTTGTTTTCTTCATTGATTAACAGTGAGATTTAAATAACTACATTATCCTGGACTGCAGTAATAATTCCTTTTGACCTTTTTTGTTTGCTCAGCACACTGAAAGAAGATTTAATAGTAAGCAGCAGTGATGACAGCGATGGAGAACAAGAATCCAAAAATGCCTCAAGGAACACATCAGCAAGGTGAAGTGCACAGCTTCGATTTTCTTTTTTTCCTGCAAAGGTCATTGTTGTTTGAGTCCAGCAGGTGTTCTTTTTTTAGTGCTTTGGTTTCATTGAGAGATGACTACAGTGGTATTCTCAGCATGGGACACCGTATTTTCTAAAACCACAAATGACTGAATAGCCTGTTTGGGTGCCGAGGTGGTCGTTTCAGGATTAGCGTTGCTTATTTGATAAAACGCGTCATCAGAACAACCATCGCCTGTTTTTAGAGAACAAGGAAATAAATGTATTACAAACAAACCCTTGTCATATGTTTATTATGATTTCATTGCATTTGTCTTGTTGTATATAATGTTTTTTTGTCTAGCTATGTTAGCTTGATGTTGCTAATATCATTGTTTTTCCTGGAAAACCATATTCTACCTGTTAGCGTAAAGTTTTTTTAAACACAGATTTAAAAAAGCTCAACACAGGTGTCCCTTCATTCATTACCTCAATGTAAATGTATTCCCTCAACTATCTACTGTTTCCAGGAGTTTAACCCCCTGCCTGTTTCTGTTCATCAACAGCAATAACAGTGAAGCTGCGGAGCCGACCAGGGATGACTCCAGCAGCCACAGTGGCTCAGAGAGCAGCTCTGGCTCCGACAGCGAGAGCGAAAGCAGCACAACGGACAGCGAGGCCAACGACCGGCCCAGGACCGCCTCTCCTGAGGTATTCATCCAACTCTAGCGTTTTAATAAACCGCGTCGCTAGAATCTATTGGCTGCAAATAAATCGTTAGAATATTTAGGTGTGTCTCAGCTGATTTATCTATTGTTGAATTCAGAAAAAAGAACTCATAGATTTAAAAACACTGAATAATTTGAAGGTGTTTGTTTTTATTTATATAAATATGGGTTATAGTAAAGGAAAAGTCAAATTTCAGTTTTTTGTGAAACTAAGAAATGACAAATGGTTATAGAAAAAGTTTATGAAAACCCTGTTTATTATCTCCACAACCATGAGTTGACATTCAGCTGCAATCAGACACAAAGCGTTGGTGATATGGACCCAATTATGTCAAAGGCTTTTTCCTAAAGGATAATAAATATTAATTAAAAAAAATATGCTTAAAGCTATTAAGTTGGTGATTAAAGTAAGATTTTTCTGCTTGAATCCTTTTGCTACAGACAGTCAGAGCCCAACCAACATGAATTTTTATCTAAAACACATTATTAAATAGGCTTTAAACATAAAACACAACTAACCAGGATTGCTGGCTAAAAGTTAATCTCAAATCACAGTTTTAAAGGATAGCCTGTTTTTTTTTTTAAATCAATAATTACCCCCTCCTTTCACAATGTTGATGAGTCAGGAAAAGGCCAAAGCAAAAGATGCAGACTATTTATCTAGCTTACCCAAGGAAAGTTATTTGGAAGGAAAACATTTTGAACTAAACTTCTAAATGTTCAATATTATCATAAATGTGGAATGCGATTTGTTTTCTCTTCCTTTCAGTTTAATCTTTGTAAGATTGTAATATTCAGCTTTCTAAGTACCTTTCTTGACTCTTTGTTCTTCTTTGCCTGCTTCAGCCTGAACAGCCTGTGATCAACAAGTGGCAGCTGGACAACTGGTTCAAAGCGAAATGTGAGAAAGAAGGCCGAGATTACAGCTCCAAGGACTCTGCACCGCCCCTGCCTAGCAGGGAAAAGGGTGCCGAGGGCGGCCGTGGCCGACAGAAGTCCCCCGCCCAGAGCGAAGGGGGCGCAAATCCTCGAATAAGATTCGGTAAAAAGCAGCCTAAAAAGACGGAGAAGCCTCCAGTGGTGGAAGAGCCCAGGGGTGGCCTTAAGGTGGAGACAGAACCCGCTCCAGAGATACCTCCCCCCCGGCCCATTGCTGGTACTAAAGGCTCGCGCAAACCTACCATCAAAAAAGAACCCAAGCCCTCTCCCAGGGCATCATTACCCTCCGTCACCACAACTACTGACAAACGCAAGACGAAGGCGCCCACCAAGACCCCTCAGTCGCGTGAACTTCTCTCTACAGACTCTTCTTCCTCAGATTCTGAGGGAAACGACAGCATCCCATCCTCTTCACAGACTCCCAAATATACAGAGAGCATCAGAACTCCGGTTTGCGTTTTCTCTCCTGTGTTGTCTCCACTCAGTGACCTTGAGGATCGCTACCCCACAAGACAACCTCAGCAGCAGGTTTTGGTCGTCAAAATCGGTTAGTCCCAACTTCTTGTACGTCTCAGAATAACATAAAAAAATTCCTCTGTTTGGTATCCTTGTTGCATGTTTCATAAAGGAGCTTTATTTATTTTACAAAATGGACTCTTCCCTTTCCTTCCTATTTCCTATAGATCTAAGCCTGCTGTCGAGGATCCCGGGGCGACCCTACAAGGAGCCTGCAGAAATTAAAGTGGAGAGAGAAGACTCCCAAGACCGAGAAAGCATCAAGGACTTTCCCAAGCAGAGCAAGTCAAAGAGGAAACACAAGGTAGGTTCTTTTTTTATTTTTCTGAAAACATTTAATTTCAAATAAAAAGCTAATCTTCACAAATGTTGCAAAGCCTCTTTAAGAAGAGAAATCCTGTTAGAAAGGAGTTTTCTCTTCCTGCAGGACAGCGAATCTAAACAAGAAAAAGTCCTCAAGAATCAAAGAGGGTTGAGGTTTTTTAAGTCCTACCAAGATTCACTCAGTACCAGTCACTCTTAATTGGACTTTCTTATTATTATTAGCTTTTGGTTTCAGCTATTTGATTAAGCTTTTTTTTTACACATGCATACCATATTTACTACAAAAAAAGTTTGTTTTTTTATGTTCTTTGTTATATTAGAGTTTCCGTAAATGTTTATCCAAAATTGATGATCTGATATCATCAGAATTTTGAATAACAAAAAGAATAGCACTGGCTGGTAAAGGTGTAGTATCCAAGCATATGTGAAGTATTGTGGAGGGAAAATTGCTACAGCCTTTAGAGGAAGAGAAATATGATCATACAGAGCCCCTGACAAAGACGGATGAGATATTAATACTTTAATTGGACAGACTTAACAGTGGACGTAATTATCCCAATCTTTAAAAAAAACAAAAAACTGCATAAACTGTTCATCTTTTGTTTAGCATAGAGAGCATAAGGTGAGCCTTTCATCATCACTTTTTAATCTTGTTTTTTTGCCAAAGTTTTCCTGTTAGTAGCAGTGTTTCCATCCAACTGAAATGCGAATTATAAGCAAAAAAAAAAATGAAATGCTAATTTGTGGTGTTTCCATTTGGTTTAAATTGAATCATCCTAGCACCGTAAAGTGTAATGCATTATTTTGTACAGTACATTGTCACGCATTATTGTATTAAACAGGAAGTAGAGGCGGCCATCTAGTATGGAGGACTGACTCTGCCATATATAAAAATAAATACAGAAATAAATAAATGCTCAATAGATAAATAATCATACAATTAATTACCACCAAAAATACAATAAACAAATAAATGCAAGTAGAAATTAAATTATAAAGTGAGACATAAATGTATATAACTCTTTTAATTAGCTTCTTTATTTGCCTTTGTAATATTTACCTTATTTATTTTTTTGTCCTTTATAATGTTCAACTTTATTTTTTTAATTACTTATATTTTTAAGTCTATATTTATGTGCATGTTATAATATTTTTGTCTGTTTTATTCTTCCTTTGTATTTTTTTACCCTAGTTATTTCTTCACCGCTATTTATTTCTGTCTGCCCTTTTTACATTTCTGTATGCATTTCTACCTCAGTATGCAAATGAGGAGGGGGTGTGTCCTAGAGAGTCACCTTATTTATTGAGCATTTATTTATTTATTTTTATATGTGGCAGAGTCAGTCCTCCTTAATCTAGCAATGAGCACAAATTAGTAATGAAGTAAAGTTTTAATAAATGGGTTATCGAGCAAGTTATGTTAGCATGTCAGCTGGTAATGGCGATGTCGTTTCCCGCCAATTTGACTCACTTAAAAGGAGGCCAACGGCAGAAACAGCTGGTCAGTCATGTGAGGGAAAAGTTTGCCACCTGAGGGCTGATTCGCAAAGTGTTTCCATCTCCGGTTTTGCACATTAACACTTTTTTCGAAAAAGCTAAAAAAAAAAACACCTCAAACAAGTGTAAAAAAAAAAAGGTTTTTGTGAATTTGAGTTCTTATGAATTTTACCGTTTCTATCAGGCTTTTCTAATTTGATACTTCAAAATGTGCATTAGCTGATGGAAACACGCTTGTTGTCTACAAGGCTTTAAACATGAGAAAATAACTTCTAAAAGAGAGTTTATCTTTTACTTTTGCAAAAAGTGCATTGTGTAACATGTAACAGAGCTTTAAAAACATTGGCACAATAAGAAATCAAAGTGTTCTGAGTTGCTGAACGTCGTTCTTCTTTTTAGACTGACGAGGAAGGCACCAAGCCAGAGAGTAAGCGATTCAAGCCAGACGATAAAACTCAGTCTCCCCATAAAACCAGCAATAAAGAGTAAGTATTCTCTCTTTTTTTTTTTCTAATAATGATTGACTCCACTCTGACCCTCTTGCTCCAATATCTCAGCCTCATTTTGTATCAGAAAAGCTTTCCACATGCTATGACTATTCAGAAAATGAACCTTTAACCTTGGGCTTAAACGTAAAAGTTACACTGAATCAGATGATTTGTTGGGCTTTGTTATCCTCTGCTTTATAGCCTGGTGTTGGAGCAAAGTTTTGAATCACCTGTTAGTTTAACTTTTAATTTCTTTTAATCTCCATATATGAATGCATTCATATTAAGAGCTTTACAGCTGCATAATACAGCTTTTAATCCAGATTTCTATTCCACCAGGTCAAAGAGACCCTTGGAGAAGAAAGAGGAGCCCGTACCATCTCCTTCTATCGCCGGTCCTCAGCGGACGCCCAAGTCCGACCATCCGAGTCGAAAGGGGACTGCCAACCACTCATCCACGTCGCTGTCAAGCAGCAGCGCTAGTAAGAAAGCAGGGAGCCACAGCAGCAAGGGCAGCTCCACCTCCAAACACAGGAAAGGGGAGGACAAGGGACGAAGCACACGCGAGGGCAAGGTTGATGTGAGTCATCTTCTACCAGTCTTGTTCTTCCATCATATAAAACGCTTTTTTTCCCCCCTTCCTTGTAGTTATGTGTGTCGTTGTTTCCAGTCTCTGCAGGAGAAAAATTCAACTAACCAGCTGGCTGTCCCTCCTCTTTCCACGGATGGCTCACGATCTCAGAGATCCAAGATGGTGTTTGAAGACAGGTACAGATGAGCTCTGCCCTGTTTTCACAGCTCCCAGTGAGACTCTAAGAATGTGTTGAATGAATAAGGCAGAGGAAACACCAGGAAACAGTTTAAAGATGCTTTCATGTCTGAAAAATTATGGATTGATGGCTCTCTGTGTCCCTTTTTAGTCTGTTTAGGGAAAAGCTTGGATAACCAGTGTAGATGATGTCATTACAATAACTGTTTAGATTTTTTGTGATTTACTGTATGTAAGAAAAAGGGTTTTATGTGCTCATGTTTGTGTTTCAGGGTTCATTCAGCCGATCACTACTTACAAGAGGCTAAGAAACTCAAGCACAATGCAGATGCACTGGTGAGTAGAAGGGTCACTGCTATAATTCATGACTTTTTCTTTTCTTTTTTTTCCTTAAAATGCTGCAAGTGCTGATAGTCTGTCCAAAAAATTTGAAACCAGCTTAAATCTTTGAGGAGTGCTTGACCGGTTTCCTCAGACGGTCTGAAACTTTTACTATTTTTGTTTGCCTGTTTTGGAATGAAGTTTCTTTTCCACCTCTATGTTTGGTAAAAAAAAAAAAAAAAAAAAAAAAAGGCTTTTTTACATTTTCTTGTTTTTTTTTCAACAAGGGTTAGTAAGTGATGGTTAACTGAAGTACACAACTAAATGTGTCTAATTATCTAAAACTTATAGGAAAGGGTTATTTCTGTACTCATCATAAAATTGTACTTGCTTAGTAAAGACATGTTTATATTATTTATTAAAGAGAAAAAAATCAACATGTTTGAAACATAACTTAACAAAAGATGGTAGGAAAATGTAACGCCTGATAAAAACAGATAACAAAAGATTAATCTTTTTCATCTATATCAATCCTCGATGGTGACATTTCTCCACTGTGAGATCAATAAAGACAATCAATCAATCCATCGATGAAACTTAGAAAAATACCTCTGTTTCTCAGCCCTTAGTTTGTTTGTTTTTTTTTATGGGAAGATTTTAACCTGATTTAATCCAAGAGTGTAGAACAGAAAACCGAAGGGAAAACAAAGGAAGCTCAGCGTTTCAAAAAGATGGCGTAATGTTGGTCCAGCACAGGCAGTTTTTCACAAGTTTGTTTCATTGGGGTTGGTTTCTACATATGGATTGTCCAATTCTGAAAAAAAAAAAAAATGTCATCTGTAAGGAGTACCAGTGGTGCAAACAGGTTTCTCTTTGCATCAGATCTGTCTCCTCCCGCAGACTCCCTGAATCCGCTTGTTGATAAGAAGGGGACAGCCGTAGTGTAAACACAGATCAGCCTCTTAACGTTGTGTTAAATGCAAACAAATAATTAACAAAAGGATGGTCTGCAAAGTGTGACCCGTCCTCATGTATGGGTGAGGCTTGACTTTTTTCACAAAGAAAGGTTTTCTGCAATACGAGCCTCAACTTTCTGCTGCTTAGGCAGTATGGAGAGAAAACCAAGTAAAGACGTCCTATGGGAGAGACGGGGAGCGTCTGCAGCTTTCAAAAGAAAGTTAATATATATATATTTTTTTTAGGTCAGATTCTTTTTTTTTTTTTTTTTTTTTAAGAGACACCAGATTGTTATGGGGGTTAACCAGTGAAACTAATGATTCATCCAACAAAGGTCCTGCAGTATTAGCTGCTTAGAATTAGCAGTATCCTTATTGCAGTAGCCTTTAGCCACTCCAGTATTTACATTATTGGAGTCTCAAAGGAATATAAGGCAGCAATATTTATTTGGATATTACTTTTTAAGCCATTCATTGACCTTAGCTCCAACAGTACATTGGAGAGGTAAATGTTCTCCATATGTATGGTTTTAGTTGCTTGGATGCTAAAGCTTGACGACAATGGTAGAAAATATTAATGAGGGATGAAGAAATATTTGTCATCACAGTATTGTGCAAAAATATTCTTCCTGATATTCTGCATCCCTCATTTAAAATAGAAATCAAGTTTGTTTAATGTGGATTTTTGTTTAAAGTTTTTACTGCCACAGAAATTAGAAATTCACCAAACTTTTTTCAATTTTGTAGCTCTTTGTCTTGGCATGGGAGCCAAACTTCTAGGATAAAAATACTAAATAAATAAACCCCCTCTCCCCCGTTTCTTTTTCAGACCAACCGTTTTGAAAAGGCAGTGTACTACCTTGATGCTGTGGTCTCATTCATCGAGTGCGGTAACGCTCTGGAGAAAAGCGCCCAGGAAGCCAAATCCCCCTTCCCGATGTACGCGGAAACAGTGGAGCTCATCAGGTTAGTAAAAACAAGACCTTCAGTGAATTATGTTTTAGGATCGGAATATTAACATAAAGCCTGTTGTTCTCTGGCTGCTAAGTTGATCTTGTTACAACCCTTTTATCTTAGCAATAACACCTGGTATTAAACCATAAATCTCTTACAAATGTTTCCTACCTGTGTTTTTAGATACACTATGAAGTTAAAAAGCTACATGGCCCCAGATGCCACTTCAGCAGACAAGAGGCTAGCCGTGCTTTGGTAAGTACATTTAATGTCTTCATAATAAGGCTTCATTTCACCTGGTAGAAGTGTCCTTAACTACTAAAGGTACTTTAGGGGTTCTAGTGTCTAAAACTCTGTTCAAACTGTTCGGTTCCAAGTAACCACTCACTCTGCTTTGGGTTCTAAAAGTAGATCCTCTTGTTTTTCTCTCCAGCCTCAAATGCCAGTCTCTTCTCTATCTGCGGTTGTTCAAGCTGAGGAAAGACAGCGCTCTGAAATACTCTAAAACCCTCACAGAGCATTTGAAGGTATTCTAGCTGTTCTATGTGCTCACATTTACTTTAAAAACCATTAAGATTCCATTCCTGATGTTTTTTATCTGTAGATGCGTGTCTTGCTTCATACATAATTTTTTGTCTCTTGTTTCCTTTAACAGAACTCTCTGAGTAACACCCAGGCTCCCTCTCCTGGAATGGGAAAGTAAGTCAACGCTTTGTCCTGTTTGGAGATTTAATCTGATTAAGACACGTTTGCTCCTGCATGTTGTGTAGATTTTCCAGATTCCATGTTTGGAAAGATTGTGAGAATCTATTCTAAATTTTAAAATGTGGATATTTAGTTTCATATCTTTTCATTTCTTACTGTGAGTGATAATTTTCATTTTCTGCAAAAAGCATTCACAAACTCAAGTGTTCACCTCTCTTAAAGGTTTTCACAAATTGTCACTCAAACCACATCTTTGCTTTTTTCATGAAAAGCATGAACACATTGTCTTTGAATTTAAAGAATGTGAAACTTAAAACAAAAAAAAGAAATTGAATAAATCCATTTACAACATCCGGTGAACTCATTTTAATTTTTTCTGTTGCAGTAAAGCGGCAGGTATGCCCTCTCCAGTGTCACCAAAACTCTCCCCAGGCCCAGCAGGGAGCTACTCGTCAGTCAGCAGCAACAGCAGTGCCAGCTCCTCTGTGACCATACCTCAGCGTATCCACCAGATGGCTGCCAGCTACGTCCAGGTCACCTCCAACTTCCTGTACGCCACAGAGATCTGGGATCAGGCGGAGCAAGTTGCCAAGGAGCAGAAAGGTATTTGCTTACGATAACTTTGATTGTCGACCTTTGTCATTCATGTTATTTTAGATTGAACTTTTAGATCAATTTCAGTGACTAATGGCTTGTTAAATTCTTGCTTTTATCTTTGACTTTTAATGAAAAGTCATTGCTGATTATGAAATGCAGACAGATTTTTATTAGACATGAATATTGAAGATCAAATAAAAAAAAATATTAAACTTCAGTAAAGGCTAGAAATGAGGAAACTTGTATTCCAAGACGAAATGGAGCTATTATTAAATGAACAAAATCATATATTTTGTATTTTAATTAAAATGTATGATAAACCATCCCTAATTGTAGAATAAATGTAAAGTGGGAAGAAAAGGTGTTTCAAATTGTTTTGTGAATATAAATCCTTAATGTCGAATTTTGATATTTATTCCGCTCCAGCCAATTCCTATAAGAAGTTTCCTAATTAACAAATAATCCAACTGTCTCTGATTTAATTTTTTATATAAATACAGCTGTTCTCTGACGGTGTCAGATGTTCGCTAGAGAACATGCCCACAATGATGCATGGTGGTGGCAGCATCATGCTGTGGGGATTCGTTTGTTCAACAGCGGACAGGATAAGCAGATCAGGGCTAATTGGAAGTTAAGTGGATCTTAATGCCTGGAATTTAGAAGACCACAGGTTTCACTTCCTGCAGGACAGTGACTCTAAGCACGAAGGAGTCGTTTTGATCAAACCATATCGTATTACGTCATTAGAGTGGATGAAGTCCTGAATTTCTGTCACAACTATTGCCCAACTAATATCGTTCTTTCCGTTTTATCTAACTGAACTCGCACAATTTTTCAAAACGAACAAGAAAACGATTCCATTTCGCCTGTTGGTCACTTAGATAAATTCAACAGCATAATTTTGATAGCAGGGCTTTTAACTTTAGGATCTTCCTGTTTTATCCCCTGTTTAATTTTTTTGTTTGTTTTTGTTTTACCTTTCCAGAGTTTTTCTCTGAGCTGGACAAGGTGATGGGACCTCTGATCTTCAACACCAGCAGCATGACGGAGCTGGTGCGTTACACTCGGCAGGGTCTCCACTGGCTGCGACTGGACGCTAACCTTAGCCACTAGCCAAGACTTGTTTGCTGCAAGCTGCTCCCTCAAACACACATAAACACTCACACCTCAGCTTTTAAGATTCCGAAGCCTGTTCTCAAAGACGCGTCACACGAATCATGCCGTACTTAGACACAGACACCAACACAGCCCACCTACGGACCTCCATGTAATCTCACACGCGGTTCACCTCTGAGACATGATTCCAACACTGTGTTCATTTCTCTGCACCAGCTTGCCAAAAATACAAAGTGAACAATTTGGAACATCTTGCAGCTTCAATGGCACTGCATTCAAACTCCTAAGAGCTTATCGCCTCGCTTGACATTTCAGCTTTCCAAGGAGATTCTTCAAGGCCCTGTTTTTATCTCTTCTGCATAAAAGCGCTGTGGGGGTTATTTCTTATGAGTACACTAAACCTGGGATTATTTTTTTGGCTACTTTGACTTTTAACTTCTTTTTTTTTTAACCTAATTTCACCAAAGTACCTCCTAAAAACACCAAAGGTGCTTTAAAATGACGGTTTCTCTTTATCATTTTTGTGCCTTTTTAAATGAGCTACGGGAAAACTAACCAATAAGTTCAGAATATTTTTGGTTCTAATTGTTTGCTCACTTGTTGGCATTTAGTTTTTTTTTTTTACATGTTAATTATCCCTTGTTTTTAAAAACAAATGTAAAAATAAAACCGATAGTAAAAGCAAGATCTCTGCTCCATGGAGGGGAGTCTAGGAAAGGTTCTGACAGATTCTAAGAATAATCGAATGAATTAAATTTTAAAACATTTTATTTCAAAGCTTTTTGTTTTTAGAATAACAGATTTCAAGTCAAGCAAATGAAATATGTCAGAAATGTTATTAGAATGCAGAAGAGGGTTCCTTTAAATTTATTTTAACAGGAAAACTTTTTACCATTTTTAAATCTCTGCTCCTGAAGAGACGTTTATCACAGCATTGTTCAGAAACCTTCTAAAAAGGGTCGCTCCCACAAAGTATTATTCCCTTTTTTTTTTTTTTTTCCAATTCCATGGCTAACTGTAGTTTTCTAAGGAACAGCAGGGATTCTTATAAGTATTGCAGATTGTGTCCACACATACAATGCAAATGCAGTTATTTATTTTATAGTTGTTCAAACAAACCGAGATTTTTCTGATTCATTAGGACTAAAACAAATTAACTATAAAAATGAGGATGTTTTTTTTCTCATAGTGGGGAGAAAAAAAACTATTCATTGAGATTAGCAGTGTTGTATTTATGTGTTTAAAGATTTTGTATATCTGATAAGAAATATAATGACCACTACAGATTCTATTTATATGCCAAGCTGATGACTAGTCTTGAAAAGCTAGCGCAAAATGCAAGATTCAGTAGGGGTTTAGTAGAGAAATATGTGTTTGTATTGTTGTTGTGCTTAAACAATGACATTTTAAAAATCAAATCATGCTTTTCTTTGAAAAATATACAGCAGGCGGAGAGTAAACATAGATGTTTGCTTACCAGATATGCTAATAATATAACTAGAGATGCACCGATCCAGTCGATTCCTGTTTTCTATTATATCTTAACAGCGTATTCCGGTTTTGTTTTGTTTTTTTTCTTCTAAAGAGCATAAAACTGAAAACAGTTTTTTTTGCAGATTCTTTGACTTTAGTAGTATTTAGAAATCCACGCATCAAACCACTGATCCTAAACATTTATCTTTTTAATGTTGAATTAATAAAAAAAAAAGAAAAATCATGAAAGTTTAACGCTAAATGCACTAGTGGGCATTTTCAGATTAGAATAAAAAATAAATAAATAAAAATAAATTAGGCTTTTCTCTATTGGAGCTGCAGTTTGATCACTGACTGATCGATCGGTGCATCTATAGTTAGAATGATCCTTTGTGATCAGATCAGCCATTGCCACTCATTTCTATTTTTTCTCCTAAGTAAACATGCTGGAAAACCCAGGCTTGGGCCAAATAGTGCTTCTGCTAATATTATTGTTTATTATAAGATAAGTGCCAGACAGTTCCGGATATGTATTTAACATTACTTTTACTATCATCTCTTCATTAAAAGCTACGTTGTGCTCACCGTTTGGCCCAGCTTGAAACATTTCTCCTTTTTTTTTTTCTGTTTTTCCATTGGCTCCCTGGACTTATTATCGCTAGAGGGAACACTGTTAGTTTCTCTTCCTGTTAAGGAGGAGAAAATCAGAAGAGGTAGTATTTTTTTGATCTATGCAGGATTTCTACAAAAACAAATAAAAAAAAATTTCTTTCAAGGGGTTATAGAAACTTATTTTTAATCTTAGGGGTTTTCTTCTTTCCACCTCAGTGAGAAACCTGTTGAACTCAAGCGGCCAATGCCTTTAGCTTTTGCAATTTTCTGTAATGGTGTATTATACTTGTGTACAGAGTTATTTTTTTTATAACAAAACACAAAAGCTGGAGTCATATTTTTTCCTCTGTGGGTCTCTCTGACCCTGATCACTGTCTTCATACACTGGTACACCTTCGCCCCCTACGTTCTCTTGTTAAATGTAAAAAAAAAAAAGATCTGTTTGCTACCCTTGCTTATTTATTTCATTAGATTTTTTTCTTTCCTGTCTTGCTTTTCTAAATAATGACTTTATGAAATGGGAAGATGTAAATGTATCATGATGAGATTTCATTTTAAGTCATAATGAATCTAACTTGAATGAATCCAGGGTAAGATGAAGTCGTTCCTTTTTTTTTTTTTTTGAATGTTCAGAAGAAAGATGTTAACACGTGCATGTTTCTATTTAAATACAGTTGTATACATTGTAAATATAACATGTCTTTAAGGGTGATTTTTAACTTCAGGTTGGCATTTTTTTATTGAATTATACGAAGAAGAAAAAAATGCTGTAAATATATTGTGAGAGACTTTATGCACATATTTTTTGTCCTTTTCTTTCCCCAAGTTGTTACAGATGAAATCCCGGTGTGTTAACACTGTAAATCAAATTGATTTCTCCATCCCTTTTTTCTAAAGTGCTCGTATACTTTGTCTCCTTCCCCACTGTCTCATAGTATCACCGTCGCCACATAATCAGTAACGTCTCTGAAATCCAAAAATGGATTTTTTATTTTTATTTTTTGGTCCTCTGTATTTGATATGGAGCTGTGTATTATTACATTACGTGTATATTGTTGAGCTCACATGCTGGATGGATGACATGTCTGTCGTCTGCTTCCTCCTGAGAGAAAGAGACTAGTATTTACCGTGTCCAACGTCTTTAAAATGGAGGTACCCCCCCACCCCCAACTCAGAACACTTGTAGCAGTTTCTACAGTATGTTGTATAAGAACTTTTTTTTAAAAGCCGTCTCTGTAGTGAGACCAGCAGCATACGTTATGTACAATGATCTGAATTTGGCTACTTTTAAGAGAATTGGTGATAGAGATGCTATATATGATGGATGCAATATGTTTTAAAGGTACCTGTCGAGTTTGATCTTCAAACTTAGGTTCTGTAACTTAAAAGCATTCTTGTGAAGTGAGTATTAATTGTGACTAATGAAAGTCTGTCCTGAATATTCTTTGTATTTTGCCGTATTGAGAATAAAATATATATATGGATATGTTTAAAGGCGTGTTGGCTGGTTCATCTGCAGAGAAACGGTGAATATATTTTAAAGGGAGAGAAATCGTACATGTTCTTTACCATCCTTCAAGAGATAAGATTTTTATGGTTATTAGTAAGTCTGAAAAAGGGGTTTCCGTATGTAAGGTTGAAGGTGTGTTACCTTCTGATGTCCTACTTGAACAAAGCTAGCTGGATTATAATAATAGAAAATACTTGATGCTGTAGTATTCCTTTTAATTGCTGCCCTAAAACTTTAGCATCTTTCTGGAGAATTGCAAGAAGTGACTTATTAGCAATTCAATGCAAATGATTATTTAGGTAACTCAATTCACTGAATAAAATGAATCATATAGATAAATTAACACTTGGCCTGTCGCTTAAGTCTTTGTTAATCATAGTTATTTTCCACTTAAGATTATTTATATTCATTAACATGTACGTATTTTACATAAAAAACAAGACGTGTAAATTTGTATTAACATATTTGTTAGCAAAATGAATGGGAAACTTTTTAATGACTCAATTAAAATCTTCCCAAATATGAAAATTTAAGGTTTAAATGTATGTGAAACTAAGCTACATGGTGGTGTAGTGGGTTGCACTGTTGCCTTGCAGCAAGAACGTTCTGGTTCCGATTCCCGGCCCCGGGTCTTTCTTCATGGAGTTTGCATGTTCTTCCTGAACATGCATGGGTTCTCTCAGGGTACTCCGGCTTCCTCCCACAGCACAAAAACATGACTTATAGATTGACTAGTTTCTCTCAATTTTTCTTAGGTGGGGTGTGTGGGTGCATCTTTGTGCGTCTCTGTGTTGCCTTGCGACAGACGCAGACTGCCTGAGAAATGCTTTGGCCCCACCACGACCCTGACAAGGAATGTGCAGGAGAAGATGGAAGGATGATGTGAAACCAATTTCAGCTGCAACCTACAACTTCTTTATGGGGATCAGTTAGACCAGATACTGGTGCTTCTGACCATGTGCGGATGCCAGGTCTGGCTAAAAAAAAATAACTAGCATTGCAAAGGGAGGCATTTAGTTCCTTTGAACTTGGGGAATAAATGAAAAACCGCTGTGGACTAACACAAAAATATGAAGTTAGCTGTTTTAGAAAGCCTTAAGCTTTGGAACGTATGCCAATCCACACTGATATCCAAATAAAATGCAACTTTTACCCTCATTTCAGACATGAACCACAAAGCAACAGTCCAAGTTTTTTTCACCTCAGCCCTCCTAAGCTGCTTTTGACATAAGTGTCTTTACATAATAAATGTAAAAGCAATTGACCATATCATGGTTATGTATATGTTTGGTAAACCTTAAGGTACAGCACTGACTCAAACGACACCAATCATCCCATGGCTCTTCTTATCCCTGCAGATCATGCAACTTTTTTTTCTTCCACTCAATTTGCCATTAATATGTTTAAAAATAGAGGTTGTTGATCAACCAGCGAACTTGGAAAAATAATGTGACTTCCTCTGGCTGAGGCGATTAACACACAGATTAGTCAAACAAGTCAAAATTACCAGTTTAACACATAAAAATGCCCTTAAGTGTAGAAAATATATACTTTTTTTTAGCAATACTATATGTTTTTTTAGCAATGCTATATCTTTATATTAATAATGTAAATAACTGCATGCTGTAGTTATCCAAATGTAGTGACAATATAACCTTGTCTCTTTTTTATACTTTGGTTTATTTTTTTAGGCCCTAGTGTCCTTTATTATTATCATTGTTGAAAATAGACAGGAAGTGGGATTGAGTGAGATGCCTAAATGACCCTCATACATTGGTTTTAATAATCTTGTGAATGCCTGATGTTCACAGCATAAACTGCTGCTCTGGAAAAAACATTTCAGAAGGAAGTTAAGGGAATGTTTTCATTTTATGCTGTTTTTCTATTCCCTTCAATCCTGCTTGAGTATTACTGCATTCTTGCTTTTATTACTGGGATTATTCATTAAAAAATAGGGGAGTAGTGGAGTAATGTGGACTTTGCAATAATCACAGCTTGGACACAAACAGTCAGGCTGAAGCAAAAGTAAACTAAGCGGCTGCTGAGGGCCAACGCACCAAAAGGGACCCTTCAAAGGCACCAGAATGATTGGAAGGCAGGTTGACACATTTTCACACAGCAACAAATGGAAATCTAAATAAGTAATTTTTGCTCAAATTAAGTGTGTTTTTTCTTGAATTAAGGAGGTAAGTGAGACACTTTGCCAATGCAACAAGACAATTTACATTTGAAATAAGAAAAAAAAACAATTGCTTTGTCTTAATTCAAGTGTATATTATCTAATCATCTTATTTCAGGAGTAAAAATACTAAATCCATTGGCAGATCATCTTATTTACCTGCTCAAATTAAGGGTAAATACACTTAAGACATTTTTTTACTTATTTCTAGGTGTTTTTTGCAGTGCACTAATGGAGTATTCTTTTTTTTTAGCTTTAGCTGAATGTTGAAAAAACTCTAAATCAAATCACAGACTTTGCATCAAACTGACCATATCAATGCGTTTTTTTTCTTTTGCACCATGTTTTTTCTCCCACAATGTTTACATTTGATCGCTGCTGCACTTTACAAAAATGGAAATGCCAAGAGAGCTGTACAGAATGACAATAAATCTAGTCTAAGCCTAAGTCTTTTTGACTTTTAACTTTAATTTTCTGTTGAGCCAGTTCACATCCTGTGCTTTACTATTTCCAATGTTTCATACAGCAAACGATATGCATGTAGTCACCAAACTATAATTTTTGCTTACACTTTTTTTGTCTTTTTGTAAACTATGAAACTCCTTTTATGAGATGACTTAGGCTAAAATCTTTAGATGCGAACACAACTGAGATTTAAATTGGACATTGGTGAACATTGGAAGGTTTTTCCCGGGCCTATATCATCTGGGACAGAGAGAAACCTGCAGGGTGTCATTACTTAAATGGGCGTGTGATCAAGCTTGTCAGCTTTAAGGCTTATAAGCTTAAAATGACTTACACTTTCTAAATGATTTATGGTTATAAGCGTGTCGCATTTTGTGTGGCTTAAAGGCCCAAACGGTTCTGCAGCTAACAAAAACCCTGTTCAGTTTCCAGCATTGTGAACTATCCAAATATTTCAGCCTCACATGTTTATTCTATTTCCAAAGAAAAATGTGTGCTCAGCTAATCTTCCTGTGCATGAAACCACAAACTATTCAAAGTGGTTTATATAGCTTCGCATTGCGGAGCTTCTTATGAATGATTAGCTCTCTCAGTTCACCATGTGCTGCTCTCTAAAACTTAACTCTTATATGGACTCTAATCTTTTAAACTTGTCCCTTTGTCTTAATATTACTTTGTTTCTGTTTTTGATTTTCTTTATTTACCCTTACTTTTGACCATTTTTTAAAATTAGAATTGTAACCAATTTATCACCTTTTTTTGAATTAACATTGAAATGAACTCATCTTTTATGTCACCGTTGTCTTCATATAGAGAGGAGCTCTGAAATGTCTTTACAGCACTTCTTAATGCATAACTACTGTAAAATGATTGTATTTGTTGCTCCATAACTTTTCACCACTTGGATTTTTGTCATTTTGTGTCACGTTTAAATTTTATTATCTTGTTTATTCTGTTATTATCCTCGTCATAATAAAATAATCGTCTATGTCTGAAAAACATTGATTCAAGGTGATGTAGGCCTAGCATAGGTATGTATTAATGTATTCATTTTTTCTAATATTCATATGTTTCATGACTTTTTTGTTTGTTTTTTTATAACATACACGTTTTTCAATTTTACTGTACTGTAACTTTTATCTATAATTCATAAAAAACAAATTAAATTCTGTTTGTAACCAAATGCACCATTCAATTCAATGCATTTAAATTCTGTTTATTTATATAGGGCCTATCACAACACGCGCCATCTCAAGGAACTTTACAGAGACAATTCAACCA